CCACGCACGAACAGAAAACCTGCATCGATTCCTCATAATACTATTTCGAAACACGAAAGCCAACTTCAGACGGTTACCTACTGAAGGATGTTTATACTGGGAATAAAATAATAGCGTGAAGTTAAACGCTGTTGTGCGCATTCTATTTTATTTAATTAGCTTTTTGTCTGAATATGCATTACACGTGCAAATAGGTTAGGATGTGGCAATAATCCATGTTCCATAGTTTGTTCATTCCGAACTTTCAGGTTCATTTTAAGCTTGTCGACTGGAGACATAGATACCACCAGCAGAAACTGATGTGGACTCAACACAAAACCCGTAAAGTGAAGTACATGGAATACAAAAATTGAGTGAATTGGTTTGCTAACAGCGTAAGTCATCCACTATCCGTACCTCGTCGATGAAAACCTGATTTACAAAGTCGCCACTACACTCGAAAATGTTATCCCAAAGTCGACATCCTGTCAATAAGGTTGGGAAGGGTAAATTTTAAGAATGGAATGTGTCAATCAAACCATCTAGAAAGAATGCTTGGAAGCAACGGCTGCAGTTGCGGACGCGCTCCTAAGCTACAGAGTGCAAACTTCTAAATTCTGCCTACTTACTATATAAAGTAGCAATTTATTTTCAGATATACTTCGACTGTTTGTTCGGAACAGAAAGGGAGTGGTATACGGCAGTTGGAAGGGGGGGGGAGTATGAGTGTGTTAGCATCAGTACCTGGAGCTTCGAGAGGGCAAAAGCAGGTCGATCTCGTCGATGAAGAGGATGGCTGGTGCACAGGCGCGTGCGTGCATGAGGATGCGCTGCATATTACGCTCACTGTCTCCCACGAAGCGTCCGAAGATGCGGGATGCCTGGACGGCGACAAGGGGCAGGTTACACTCCGTAGCCAAGGCGCGGACAAACAGGGTTTTAGAGCAGCCTGTCACGGGAGGAGAGGGGGTTGGGGATGCGTGAGAGATAGACGTGGATTATCGTAAAGTAGCCAGGAGCAGGCAAAGATCAGTAGCAGAAAAGACAAAATCTGCACACGGACAAACGGGAAGTATATTTAGTTATAATGGCACGTTTAGGTGACTGACCCGATGACACGATAAAATGTTGCTGGTCACCATGGATTTGGTGTAAATGACTAGAACTGAGAGCTAGGTAGCGAATCAAAGTCTTGTCTGATGTGAGTCACCTAGATTAAAACCAAATATCTAGGAACACCTGCCCAACTCTTTAGCGCCATCTTAGGCACCAGAGTAAGGCTTCTTATGAGATTTTAGACTGAGTGAAAAAATTGTTAATTTTATCTGTGCTTCGTGGTAGTTAAAACTTGTGGAGACAGTAAGGCATATGCAGGTTCAGTGCTTTTTTTCTCTGTTTGGGAAGGTACTTCTCAAGCGGAGACAAGATCTTCGCCTGCAAAAGCGAAAAACAAATTTTCTCCTGACGCAAGGCGACTGCACTCAGTCATCACTACCAGCAGCAGTTGCATGATGTCACCGAATTTGATGATATCCTAAAATTCTCTTTCCTTTGCAAATTTGGCCTTGTTAAAATTCATGCCAGCACACAAAGGCTCAGATATAGGCCAGTCAGATAGAACTGGCTCCAGGATGAATTCTCACCCCAATGTACTCCGAATTACGCTGTAGGCTGCAGATGATTCCTTTCAATACCCTTTCGATGGAAAGCCCCTTTCAAATGTTGACGAACAGAAGGACGTCGGTGTCGTAATAATCTCCTCGCTTAAGCCATCTTCACAGTGTCTAAAGGCAACACAGGTGTTACTTTCTCAAAAACCTACGTAGCATTTGGTAGGTCCAGGCCTGGCGTCCGTGGTTTAAGAAGGATTATCTGCAGCTGAAAAGAGTGTAAGCGAGGGCTACGAAGATGGTCAAAAATCTTGGTCATCTGGCTGAATTTGATTTTTTCCCTCTCAATTACAGGCAACTACACGGTGACCTCATTCAAATCTACCGAACTGTTAGAGACCATGAGTGCGCCTTAGAATTTGATTACTTCTTCTCATTGGTTCAGGCGGAGCATCTTCGGGGTCATCGCTTAAAACTGCAAAGGAAGCTGGCCCATATGGACGTTGGACGGAACGCCTCCTCGCAGAGGCTCGTTAGAGTGTGGAACAGACTCCCTGGCGAGATGATCCCTTCAGAAAATATTGCGAAATTTAAATACAAACTCGATTCTCATTTGCTGAGAAACTATTTTGCATATGTAATGAACACTGTCAGTGGCGGCAGTTTGTCACTGGCTCACACATATTGATGGCGTTAACTCCCCAGGTGCTGTTTGTAAGGTTACAGTATTTTGGATGGAGTGGAACCGACAAAGATAAGGGAGACCAGAATGGCCATTTCTGGTTTATTAGCCGTCATCAGCCAGTCAGTCATACCCAATCCCAGGTGTTGATCAACCGGGACCTTTGGTCATTGAGAGTTACACTCTACCATTGAACCAGGTGCTCGTTGCTTTGTCGGTTGAGATCGGGAACATGATGAATATGTGGTGTGCTCGCTGATCTGGTAATGGAACATGTCCGTCCCGGTTTTGTCCTGGAGCTCGCTCTTAAGCCCTCACAGGCAGCCATATAGCGACTTGTAGGATAGGATGGGGTGGAACCGACAAATATAAGGGAGACCGGAATGGCCAGGGCAAAGCCGGAACGGACATGTTTCATTACCAGATCGGCGAGTATCACATATTCACCATATTTCCGATTTCATCTGACAAATCAACAAGCCCGTGGTTCAATGGTAGAGTGTAGCACTCAATGATCAAAAGTCCAGGAACGTCTCAACAGCGTCTTCCCGGACATCCAATTTACGATGGCGGAATAGAACAAACAGCTTGCCTTTCTTGAGATCCTTGTCTGTCGCAAAGATTGTGGTGCCTAAAGACTAAAGTATTGAGGAGAGCGACAAACACGATGCAAGTACTGAATTAAAACAGCAACCACTCCAACCAGCCCCAAACGCAGTTGCGTAAGGACGCTCTATCGGCGTGTTGAGACGCACTGCAGCGAACCAGGAGATAAAGTTGCCGAGGTAAAATACCTTCGACGGGTAATCCGAGAAAATAGCTACCCGCGAAACTTCGTCAACCGGTGCCTACGCAAACGAGATGGCCAACAAAGTCGCACCG